TGATGGTTTTGCATCTTGCAGGTTGAAGATATTGTGGACACAGGGAATACTGTTTCCTGTCTCATTGCCCATTTACAAAAGAAAGGAGCACTGTCCATATCAGTTTGCACTTTCCTGGACAAACCAGCAAGGAGGACAGTCGATTTTCAGCTAGTAGGGGGTGGAAAATTTTACAGAGGCTTCGAGGTAGAAATATCACCCCCTTTTAACATTTCACTATATGGCACAAAGCCAAACTTGGAACCTAAAGTCCTTAGAGGCTACTTTGTAACATCAATTATGATTTTAGTTTGCCTCCTCCATCTATAGCAAATCGTACTGACAAGCTATCCTACAGTATCGGTCCCTTAATTAATCGCCAAACTGTTTGTATTCCTCTGCAGTGCCCCGACAGCTTTGTTGTTGGCTATGGTATGGATTATGCGGAGCTCTACCGCAACCTGCCCTATGTTGGAGTTCTCAAGCCTGAGATGTACAGTAAGAAAACTGACAACTAGGCCGGAGGCAGACAAGACTTGCAAACCCTTTTGCGAGAGCACATAAATTTTGAAGAAACACAAACATTTCGGTTTTTATATATTTGTAGGCAAATTGTGCTTAATTTTGCACAAGACAAGTTCCTTTCTCCATTTGGGCTGTTCCTCTAAATAGCATAACAGGAAGCATTTTGCCCATATGCTGCAACCATGAAGACAAATCTATGTGGTTGTATGACATGTTCCGTCTACCATTCACAGATAACAACTGGTCTGTTTGTAAGCTATATATATATGTACTCGTCAAGTTTCTGCAAAAAAATAAAATAGGGACTCCTTATTTTTTGTCTTAATATTGTGATGAGAACAAAAGAGGGTGACAGAATCGTAGTGGGGTTTTCCAGAATAGAGTACCCGCAGGCCGTTAGAAACTTTGAAATGCTATTTCCCTTTTTATGGATATTTTTCTTCTGTGGAACATGAGGTTGAAGTGCCCCACTCGAGAAGTAGTGTGCCACTGCAATCCCCCTGTCCTCTTTTTCCTCGTTGTGGCCACAGCTCCGGCCATGGCGATGAGCTTCTTGTCCACCGCTAGCACATCGTTCGTGCCCTTCCGCCGCCTCTCCCGCCACAAGCCCACCGTCACCCCCTCGCTCCAGTTCCCCACCAATCGGCGCCGCTCACCCTCCTGCTCCCTTCTCCCTCCCCAACGCCGGCGCCTCTCCTCTTCCAAGGCCCCCACCACCAACCTCCTCTCATCAATCACGGCCGCCTCGAGAACCCTGCTCTATCTGCTCGTCGCCTCCATCCTCTCCCTCTCCGGCGTCCGGCGCCCCCTCCCGTCACTCGCCGCCCCTCCCCCACCCACGCAGCAACCGCAAGACGACACCAAGGGGCAGCAAGAAGAACCCGACCAAGGGGATCAAGAAGAGGAGGACGAGGCGGAGTGGTTTCGGAAGGAGGAGGAGGAGGTGGATGCGGCCTGGATGCAGCCAAGCGACGAGGAGGAGGAGGAAGAGGACGACGACGAGGTCCAGATGTACCTGGAGGTCCTGAGCGAGGACCCGGGCGACGTGGACGCTCTCAAGTGCGTGCTCTTCGCCAGGATGCGGCGCAAGGACTGGGGCGGCGCGCTGCGCTACGTGGCGCAGCTGCGGGAGGCCGAGCCCGGCGAGGTGGAGTGGCGGCTCATGGAGGCGCTGCTGCACGAGCTCAACGGGGACATCGCCACCGCCGAGCGGCTCTTCCAGGAGGTCCTCGCGGAGAAGCCCCTCCTCGTCCGGGCTCTCCATGTGGGTACACAATACATACGCACACGCTTTCTTTCTTACCTGCAGTTTGCTCTTGTTAATACTGTATTATATAATGATTAGATGGTCACACTCTATGATTGCTGGGTAGATTTTGGGAAATGAAATCAGTACTGGTAGGTAGGAGATCAAGAGAAGAGTTATTGTACCATGAGCATTGTTGCAAATTGCTGTAATTTTTACTAGAGTATGCCAACTTCTAGATGCGAACTTTGTTACAATGCTAAGATTTCTCAAGGAAAAATACCAACTTAAAATTTCTCATACTGTCCAATCTTTAACGGCTGGTGCCAATCAGTAGATCTGCATTTTGATTAAGAGGGAACCAAAACTAGATCTTCCATTTTCTGAAGGTCAAATGATTTTGTTTGTATATATACACTATAACAAAGCTTTTCTTGTTTATGTATTGGATGACACCTGATGTACTATTGGTTAAGCCCTGGTACGCATAAATTCACAAGGGAAACACAGTTGTAGTAGAGTTCGTATGTGAGAGATGTTTGGTCCGCATTTGTATTTCAGGCCTTTGCAGCATGCACCGGGCGGTACTGCAACTTGCCATTCTGGTTTTATAACAAGGACAGGTTGCAAATTTGCAATGCGATCATCCATTAGTGAAACTCTCCTTTTACTGCAGTCTTTCCTGGTGTGGTATTTACAAACCTAGCTGATGTTTTCCTTCCACATTCCCCATTTTTGCAGGGCCTCGCATTGTGCATGCATAAAAGGCTCGAAGGTCCAACTGTTTTTGAGATGCTGGAGAAAGCTTTGCAACTTGCAGTATCCGAGGAAAGGGTCCCAGAAGAGCGCAACATAAAGCTTCTGATTGCACAGATGCATGTTGTCAAGGTAACAGATCATACTGAAGTCCTGAGCACACGGCATGTTTCTGATTTCCAATGGAATTCCCTCCCGCCTTCGTGGTGCTGCAGGGTGACCTGGATGTTGCATCAGAGAAGTTGAGAACTCTTATTAACGAGGATCCAAGGGATTTTCGGCCTCATCTTTGCCAGGTATTCCTTGACCATTTGCAGGTTTGATATGTTCTCTGACTCCTGTTCTGAGATCTCTCTGTCCGCTGTGTTTCTTCGTTGCAGGGCATTGTATATGCACTTTTGGACAAAAAGGAAGAAGCGGACGAGCAATTTGATGTATATAGAAGCCTTGTGCCGGATGAGTTCCCGGACAAGAGTTTTATCAATGATGTTATACTATCGGCCAAAGAGGAGTCAAAAGATCGGCTACAGAAGGACTTTAGATCAGAGTACCTATCTAAAAAGTGACACTTCAGGTTTTCCTATACCTGAACGGCTCATCATACTTAGTGAGGTAGTTCTAGATCGTTGCGTATTTCTGCGCATACAGTTACACAAGTGCAACATTGCTATAAGTGAGAATGCAATATAATGAAGACTAGCAGAATGCCCGTGCGTTGCCATGGGCAAAATATATCAATTTCTTTAGCAAATACCATGAGAGCAACTATCACCACTCTTTTATTTGTTTTGGTGGTAAAATTCTGTGATCATCGTCTTCTTCCTCCTATTTGTCTTCCTTCTTCCATTCCCACGACCCATCCTTCGGCACTGGTTGCGGCCTGTGCCGCTGTCGTGCGCGACTCTACCCAAGCCACCATCCCCATCGGTTCACCGTTGCCCCGGCACTGGTCTCGGCCAGTGTAGATGCCGCCCTACTGAAAGTGCGTTAAGTCGACTAGAGGGGGAGGGGGGGTGAATAGGTGTTTTTTATAAATTCGTCACGGAGGAATTTCGGGGGTGAGGAAATTCCTAAGTCACGAACAACTAGCAACGGAATAAGTACTCAAGTGTAAGCATAACAGAGTAAGAACATAGTCATCATGATGATATGAAAAACAAACATAGAGCACAAGTAGCGTAAACACAGGATAAGCAGGCTGAAGACAGTGTGTCTGAAGAAATTGGATTGAGGAAACAGAGAAAGTCTTCAGTCAAAGTCTTCAAACAGTAATAATCAGGTTCATCAACACATGAATGAGGAAATTAAAAGGTTAAAGAAATAGAACCAGTAGGCTTAGTGAAGACAATGATTTGGTAGACTAGTTCCAACTGCTGTGACAGTCGTACGTCTGGTTGGAGCGGCCGAATATTTAAACTCGAGAACACACAGTCCCGGACACACAGTCCTCACTGTATTTTCCTTGAGCTAAGGTCACACAGACCTCGCCCAACACTCGTGGTAACTCTTCACAAATGACTTCCTAACCTTCACAGACTTGGTCACTCGGTGATCCACAATTCCTCTTGGATGCTCAGACCATGACGCCTAACCGTCTGGAGGATACACAGTCCTTAACGGCAACAAGCGTCGGTTTCACACAGGAACAATCTCTTCAGTGATGCTCAATCACTTTGGGTTTGTAGGTGTTTGAGTTTGGGTTTTGGGTTTTCCTCACTTGATGATTTTCGCTTAAAGTTCTTGGAGGATGGGATGCTCTCAATTGACAAGTATCAGTTTCTCTCGGAGCAGGCAACCAACTAGTGGTTGTAGGGGGCGGCTATTTATAGCCTAGGGAGTAGCCCGACATGATAAGACATAAATGCTCTTCAATGATATGACCGTTAGGTGGTAGGATATTTTGGACAACTGGTGCGTAGCACAGCAACAGTCGGATTTGAGGTTCAAATTCCTCAGGGCTATCATGTTCCTCACTGTGTAGGCAATCCGCACTGGCGAATTTCTAACTCCTCAGTCAGAACAAATTCCTCAGAGACCAGAAGATCTTCGTCTCTGTCACTGAAGAAATTGACTGAACTGATACGAGATTTCCAATGGCTTCACTCGAAAGGATTGGGTAGATGTAGGATTTTGAGATGAGCATCACTTGGAAAATCAGTTTCCTTAGTATTACCTCGACCCCCTTTAACAGTACGGTGTTTCCTTATGACTCAAGAAAGAGAAAATGAAACTACGAAAACAAAAGTCTTCACACTTCATAATCCTCGCATGAATATCCAAGTCTTCAAGGTCACACCAATTTCTTCACTTTCAAAGTCTTCAGGAGAACCAAAGTCTTCAGCTGAAGACATTCATTTTTAGGGGTCGACTTTCACTGTAAATATCAAACTCCTCATCGACTAATAGAGCCTGTGTACACTCACAAACATATTAGTCCCTTAAAATATAAGTCTTTAATACACCAAAATCATTAAGGGGCACTAGATGCACTTACAATCTTGAAAGTGCGTTATATCGACTAGAGGGGGGGGTGAATAGGCGATTTTTATGAATTCTTCACTAAGGAATTTGCCGGTGAGGAAATTCCTAAATAAAGAACTACTTGCAGCGGAATAAGTACTCAGAAGTAAACATAACAGAACACAAGCATAGTCATCATGATGAAATGAAGACAAGCACAAAGTACAGAAAGCGTAAACACACAGGATAACACAAGAAAGAAGACGGACAGACTGAAGAAATTGAACTGAGGAAATTAAGAAAATCTTCAGTCAAAGTCTTCAAACAGATATGAATAGGCACACAATGTAACACCCCCAGTGTCATGCTACAGTAATCCCCTGTTAATGGTGCCATGTCATCATGTTACTTTTGCTAATCTTCACTTGATCCAAATCACAATTCAAATTCAAATCCAATCTAAAGTAAAAAAATCAAATTGCTCAAACATGAAAAATAAAATGTTCATCATGTACCAAATAATCCACAAGT